TGCAGAATGGGCAAAACAAAAATTGGAACAGGACCAGATTTTGTTCATGAGGCAAACTTTTATGTGAATGGTGAAGTTAACAAAGAAAACCACCGCTATTAGTCTGACACTAACCCACATTGGATGGATTCCTCCAAGACTGTTGGAACAACAAAAGTGATGGTTTGGTGTGGTATATGGGGTACAACGATAGTGGGTCCATTCTTCATCAATGGAAACCTCAAGGCCACTGGATATTTGAAATTGCTACATGATGATGTGTTTCCCTCTTTCTGCACTGAAGCTGGCACGTTCCCTGAGTTTTTCCAGCAAGATGGTGCACCACCACATTATGGGTGCCAGGTCCGAGCATTCCTAGATGAACAGTTTCCTGGAAAGTGGATTGGTCGTCGTGGGCCAGTTGAATGGCTCGCAAGGTCTCCTGATCTGACCCCCTTAAACTTTTATCTTTGGGGTCATCTGAAGGCAATTGTCTATGGTGTGAAGATACGAGATGTGCAGCACCTGAAACTACGGATACTGGATGCCTGTGCTGGCATTTCTCCTGCGGTGTTGCTATCAGTGTGTGAAGAGTGGGAGAAGAGGGTTGCATTGACAATCCAACACAATGGGCAGCACATTGAACACATTTTATAAGTTGTCAGAAACTTGTAAATAACTCATGAAAGAATAAAGTTACATTGAAACCAAGCACACCATTGTTTTTCTTGTGTCATTACCAATAAGTTTGATGTGTCACACGGCCCTCTTCCTATTGAAAAAACAAAAGTTGTATCCAAGATGGCCGACTTCTAAATGGCCACCATGGTCACCACCCATCTTGAGGAGTTTGCCCCCTCACGTATACTAATGTGCCACAAACAGGACTTTAATATCACCAACCATTCCCATTTTATTATGGCCCACCCTGTATAAATAAATATAAAACTAAATAGCTAAAATCCCCAAAGCTGCTAAAGTGAATGTGTTAAACTCAGTGGTTATAAAGGTGGAATGTGCTGTACATTTCACGTTGGACCAATCTATAAAAATGCCACTTCACTTAAAGACATGCCAGTACACTCAGCCTGCCACTCCATCCTCTATTACAACCAGCCGGGCCACAGAAGCAGGACTGTCATGCTGAGCTCTTTCCTGTCAGAAAGATCAACCCGTGGAAACAGTTTTGAAAACATCAGCGTCTTTCCACGGCTGTCTCGACCCCAAAAGTACCGTGTCTCCTTCTGTCTGTGGGAGGTTGCGACTGGTCTGTTTTGTAGGAAAGGTGAAAGGTCACAGTGGCAAAGGCTGTTAAGTTTTGTGAGGTCGGAAGGGTGTAGAATCCAAGGGCTTAAGTAGGCCATTAATTCGAGAGCTTCTTTTCCTGTGCTGTAGCACCTGACAAAACCTGATCTCTTCCTCCACAGTGGTGTCTGAGGAAAAGCAGAAAAAAGAAAGGTGAGGAATTTCAGAAAGAGGCTTTGACTTTTGATGGATTCAACACATTAGTGGAAATGATTAAAACACAAAAAAAGATATGATAGATATATTTAGCCGAGAGTGGCTTGTTAAATAAAAAATAAAAAAAAGATTTTCAAATGCTGAAGAAAAGTGATGGAGCTAGGTAGAAAGGCAGGGTTTGATTGATGAGGAGATAGAAGAAGAAGAAGACTAATGAGGGGAAGCAAAGCTGAACACAAACATTGTCGCCTCCTAGTGGAACGCCAACCCTGTTGGCACAGCTCAGGACTATTTGTCCATTCGAGAAATCTTTAATGTTCATAAAAAAGTGAAGAACTGAGAAGTATTTACATTTTGTTCACTTTTAATAACTTAAGTGTCAAAAGTGATCATCAAAACTATTTTCCAAGTCAAAAAGATTAATGACAAAAAACATCTTCCAATGGAGTACATGACCCGTAGTCACACTATGTTTTAAACTGTACTAATAAAAGATTATTGGCCTTCATGGACATAGACAAAAAAAAAAATAAGGAAAATATTCTAGAAGAACGTAGTTTTCACAGGTTATTTAAACTGACAATAATGCTGATGGTGCACACCTTACTGGACCTTTCTATGTCATGCCTCGTGATCAGCATGTTTTTGATCAACAGTGTTCATTTACCACAATTTAAAGATCTGCACACAAATGTGTTCACTGTAAATTAGTTCAAGTGGAAGCCCTTGTAGTAGCATGTGTACAGAGAGAAACACAAACACAAAGCCATTATCACGCTCACTTTCTCTTTGTCTGACACACACACTTATGAGCATACCAGAGCTTTATCCCCCTCCACATGTCGAGGGGGTCGTCACTCTCCAACAGACGGTCGTCCAGTTGGCCAGCAATGGTGCCGTGGTGGTATGTCGAGTGTTCATAAGGTGTGGTGACCTGCTGTGACCTTTGACCTCATGACAAGACGGGTAGTGGTGGAGGAGGCCTACTAACACCACTTTCTGCTAATGAATGACTAAAGAGAGAGAGAGAGAGAAGGACATGACCTTGGAGGCTTTTGACCAAACTGTGAGATTTTAACGAAATCTTTCTATGTTTCTTTATTTGTTCCATTTTATTTTTGATTGCATTTTGGCAAACATCGTGTATATTTTACCCAACGGCAGTTTTTTGCATTTTTTTGCTGCTGTTGTTTGCCATCATAATCAAAGTCTGAAGCATCTCTTCATATGTTTTTATTTCCTTCCATGCTGCCTGTGCTGAGATCATTCTGTACCATAGAAACCAAATGTCATCCAAGACTTTTTGTGGATGTAAAAAAGTGCATTGTGCACTTTCCTGTTTTGTGTGGCTGCATGATTAGTGATTCTCCAGGTTTTTTAGTCTGTGATGAAAATGTGCTCTTCTGGTTCCTTGCAGTACTTAAATACTAGGAAAACAGCAGCAAGCTGAGTGGAAATGCCATTTCCATTTCTCCTAATGCATTCATGACTTTACTTCAGGTTATGAACTTCTTTGTTTTTGTTGGAAAACCTGCACACAAGTCCAACCCTTGAAATGAACAGATAGCAAATTGCTTCCCTTGCTTTTGTTTGCTGCTTTTATTTTCAAGTGGTAAGGCCGAGCAGGACCTTCTGGATTAAGAACTGGTATATATGAAGGCTTTAACATATGGCTATTTTCATTCTCCCCTCATGACATATGGATGTGGGTGTTCTATTCGCTGCAGATCAGTATAGAAATCAAGGTGATCACTCGGAACAACATTGTTATTTTGCAGTGACCAACCCTCTAAGGGAGGGGTGTCAAATATAATGGCTGGGGACATAAAGTGTGAAGATGGGCATAAATTTTGGACTTTTAACTGTATTTTAATCTGTTGTATATTTCAAATCCCAAATCATGCATTGGTTGTTTTTTTAGTTTTGTGCTGCCTGATATTTGTTTCAGTGTTTAAAGCTGAAACTCTTTGACTGACTGACTGATTTGGTAAGGCCTGTTGCTCAGAGGTAAAACGCACATGTTTTTGTTCATTCACCATTGTGAATGACTGTTTTCTGTGATGTTCATCTGGGAAATCTCTCACCTCTGGTTTAAGATCAGGGCTGGGTTTATGGGTAAATGATGTTTTGACTGCTACGAGCCTACAAGTGTAGAAGAAATCCCACATCTAATCTGGGTGGATAAAACACACTGATTTGCCAGGGACACGGAGCAAAAAGAAAAAAGTAATTAAGCCTAATCCACTGTCATTTAACTGTTGTATTCTCAAATCAACTTTTCCAGAATAAAGACGTGACGTTTGTCTTTCTTCCGCCCCTCTTTGTCTCTTTTCTTTCATGTGTTTCTCCTTGTCCTTCTAGCCTCTTTTACATCCTCTGTCCCTCTTTTCCATCTCCATTTCTCTCCTCCCTGCTCTTATGTCATGACATCATCTGTCCTCAGTGTGGTTGGGGTTTAGTTGGAGCACTGCAGCTATATTAAACCACACTGATATATTTTCGCCCTCCTTTGATCCGTTCTCGTTAGAGCCGCCCGCCACAGTGCTTACAGAGCCACGGGACCTGCCAGCCTCCACTTTATGAACCCTCACAGTGTGTAAAATAAAACACACGCAGCATGTGGATAAAATCTGCAATAAAAGCTGGGTGTGAAAGTAGAGTGAATTTTTAAAAAGCGCTGATTCTGTCCAGTCCTGCGGTGCAGTTATTGGTGATGACGGATACAGTGTGCAGTGTTTCTGAAGGTGACAGGAGGATTGTTGAACTGGTGTGAAAATTCTCAGCTAAACTGTGAAGACTGAGGCACTTTGTTATGTAGGAACTTTACCTGCAGCCTTTTCACATTAGATGAAGTTGACAGCAGAGAACGGAGATGGTATATTAGGTAAAGAGTGGTCCTAAACCACATACACACAAAAAATATTTATATTACAATTATCCTGAGTTTTAGCTTTACTCATTCCATGAGCATGTCTAGATGGATGAAAGTGTTGACCTTTAAAGACTGAAATATCAAAGCAATGTAAGATGGATGGCAGCGAAAAATCAGAAGTGTTAACAGGATAAATAATTCCTGGTTTTAGGGGCGGTTGATTTAAAAAGGATAAAATAATCCAAGACACATGTTGAGGTCACAAATTTAGTCACTTTCACTTTATGATTTCAGAGTTAGTCAACGGGCTTAGGGTATAAAAGACACACTGCTGACTCTATATTCATTCAATTTTGATACCTTAAACAATGCACGTGTTCACCGTCAGGAATTGTAAAGCCGAGATATTTTGGTACTTGTGGGAAAAAAAAAACAGTTTGCCAGTAATAATCACGCCTTGGATTTTGGCAAGTACATTATTTATATTTCTCCTTAATCTTCTTCAGCAAATTTAACATTTGAATCCTTGACTTTATGACGGTATTATATCCCATTTTAATTTCCACAGAGAGAAATAACAGCCAGAGAAATCTGTGAGAAAGTAAAAATTGGGATGAAAGTAAAAGGAGAAAAATGTTGGAAAAATATAACCCTGGGTGTTGTTTTCTTCTCTCTGTCTCTTTTGCAGGATGGTAAAGCAGACTGTAAACAGGAGAAATGTCCACTTGTCTCAGAGGACTGTGCTCTGGTGGTGAAACAGACTGGAGCTTGCTGTGAAAGGTGTAAAGGTAAGACAAGCAAGTGGACAGAGGTCAGGCGACAATAAGAGAATACCTGTGCGCCTTTGCTTTTTTATATTTATTGTAAAGCTATGTATGCCTGTAGGTCCTCTGTACTAATGGGAGACACTGGAAATATAGAGATGCTAATCTCACGCACACACAGACCCTTCGGGGACTACTTTATCTCACCGTATCCTAACAGCGAGGCCTATATTAGGAGAGCATGTGAGAGTAAAGCTTCATTATTTACCTCACATAAAAGCCACATATACACAGTTGCACTACAAGGAGACTGTGCTGCTGCTGAAGGGGTTCACTGCTGGGTTTACAGCCCACAAAAATACAGTTGTTTTTATGAGGCAGGAACTCCTCTATATACCTTCCTTCTTCATCCTCTGTGTAAGGTTTTAGTCACTTCACATCAGCCTAATTAAACTGGGCATTTTAACAAAAACCCTTTCCGTGCACATTTATGTACTACATTTAAGACAAACAGATACATGCATTCAGGCTAAAACAGAGACATAATGCTGAAGCAATCATCAAACCTAAATTCCAACTGCACACTGTAGCTAAATAAATATATCATTTACAATTGTGAGCTCTGACTTGTTGTATTTTTTGCCCTCTTTAGAATTAAAAGATCTGTATTGGACAAAGTAAGCCACTGTAGCTGATTTTTGCATAGCTGTAGAGCTTCAACATCCAGCAAGTATAAAAGGAACCGAATCTTTAGTTCCCACTGTACTGGCTTAGACACTTAACCTCTATAAAAACCCAAAAGGGGACCCTTAAACAAAGTCTGCACTACGATGGCTTCCCTTACTTTTTCTGTGCTTATGAAGCTCATGTGGCTCTGCGGAAATACATAAACTGTCACACCTACCTCCCAGCTCTCGGCAGGGAGGGGGCCCTTTTGTTTGCGGTTCGCCATTTTACGACACGGCACTTCGTTAAGAGAGACAGAACATGCTCGACTCGGACATGGAAAGCCCCACGTCACCACAGCAGTCGGTGTTAGTTTTAGTTGTGTGGTTAAGTTGTAGCCACTGTGACCAAATTTAGGACTGCTTTGTGTCTTTGCTTTTTAAAACACACTAATTCCTAGATGTCATATCACCATTTTCTCACTTTTATGAAATCATGCCGACAGTTAAAGAGAATCACAGCTTGACTGCATCAGTTTATTGGGAACAGCTTTATAAAGCGGCTTTAATTAAGGCGTTTATATATGCAGCAGTGTAATAGCAAGTGCACTTGAGATTGAAAAATACGTATTTTTAGGAGTATAGCTGTCAGAACTTCCTCGGCAGCCTCACCAAACAAACACAACTGTCACCAGGTTTTGACTAAAGCACAGTCATGTAAAATAGAAAGTTTCCACAGGACTTTAAACATTCTCTTCAGCGGGGATACCCTTACTGCTAGCAGCCAGTCAGTGATAATCAAATGCAGTTGATCAACTGATCATCATCACTTTACTGGTTCGGAGCATTCAGGTGTGTGTTAACACAATGCCACAGCCTTCCCAGGACTGGATGGTTCAGGAAATCCTTCCCACCATCTTATCGTACAATTCAAGACTTCTGCAACACTGTTCTTTGGACAGATGAGACCAAAGTGGAGAGCCATAATCCACAGGGCAACAGTTGGCTAACACCAGAAAAGAGAATATCAGCACAAAAACCTCATACCAACTGTCGAGCACAGTGGTCAAGGGGCAATGTTTTAGGTTTTTTTTTTCAGCCACAGGGACCAAAGCTTCTGAGTCACAGCATGGACTGTGTTTTTCACATGAGTGTTCTTCTACATATTGGTATACAAATGCAAAAGTGCTTCTGTCTGACAGCCGTCATATTTATGCAGTATATTAACAGTTTGAGTGTTTTGCCAGGGTATTGGTCTCTGTGGGTTCTTGTACTCGTACTAATAAAATATATACTGTACATCTTCCTGCTGCAGTATTACAGTATCACAGGGTTTAGTTTACACTGAGGAAAGTAGATCAATGGGTGTGATCAGGTTTCATTGTATGGAAAGTTCTATATTGATCTGAACCCACTTTCTGCAAATGGGATGAAATGAATAGGCTATTCATTTAGAGTTGAATAGACAACTGCTGACAGCTCAGAGGGCGACTCATCCAAGTATATGAGGAAGAGATCAGTGTGTACACACTGAATTTAACATTAAACTGAAAGAGAGTTTAAATATTCACATCATATAATCAGATGTGGTTATTTTTAGACTCGAGACTTTAAATTAGATTTAAGTCACAAAAATGAAGACTTGACTTTGACCTCACACAGCTGTAATATTTGACCTCCTTGATATTTTAATGCATCTTACAATGAAAACTTAGATGAAACTTTGGCTACCAACAACAAAGAGAGGGGAAAGAAACAATATATAAAGCTAATTGAAACATGTCTACCAGATGTTTTTAGTCACTTCCGTGAGCTTTGGCCAAGATTAGAACACAATTTATTTTTCTACATTAGAAATGACAGCGCTTTAAACATATGAACATTTTGCAGGGCTGTAGTCATAATTATGATTACTGCTTTCTCATTTTCCAATCTAAAATCTAAGTTTTCAGATTAAGAAAATTTTCTTTGCATGGCAGAAAAATTAAAGCATTTGCAGAAATTGAAAATGTATGCTTTCTGTTTCCCAAAAAATGAATTCACAGAAACATTGGCAGGAAAGTGAATGTTCCTCCAGTAGGTCATTTGCATGGATAGTTTGCATTTCTACACTGGGACCAACATTCTGGGAGATTAAAAAAGTTATCTTTACTATCTGAAGGATGGCAGTCTTAAATTCTCTTTGTCAAAATAACAAATTGGAAAAAAGTTTGGTCATTTGCCATAAAATGACTTTGGCTTCTCCATGCCGTCTTCTCGGCCACAAGCTACAAGTGAAATGCGTCTGAAGTTGTAGGTATTTTAGAAATTACACATCCTTGAAATTTAGAAACTACTTGAAACACAATTAGAGCAACTGAGCTCTTGACATTGTTCCTGTTCCCCAGCTTCTCCCTTGTCTTGCAAGTTAAGGTTATATTTTTCTCTCCCAGGTTGTACGTTAGATGGATGCTCCTATAACAGTTCAGTATCCTGGACCACCTCCACGAAACCCTGCATAACAAGACGTTGTCAGGTGTGTATATGCGCTGACTGACCAAGCTGCACTGTTAGCAGATGAGAGGTAATGGAAGCAAAGCTCGGGCTTCGAGTTGAAAGCACTGATCCCAAATCAGATGTGAAAAACACACAGACATGTTGTTAGCAAGAAGGCATAATGCTAGAAGAGTGAAGGATGGGAAAAAAAGGAAAAGGGTTGGGAAAAGGAAAAGGCAGGGAAGTAAACAAAGACACTGAAGGAAAGAAAGTGAGTAGTCATGGAAGAAAACAAAACAAGTATGAGAACTGAGGGATGGAAGAAAGGAAATAAGCCAGAAAGATTAAGAAGAAATGTGGAGTAAGCACGAACAGGTCTGGAAAACTGCTCAAAAGAGGTATGGATAAAAAAAGGAACAGGCAGCACTGGACAGAAGGAATTCAGGTAAGTAGGAAAAACATAGTGAGGAGGAACAGAATCAAATAGAGGAAGCAGAAGCAGAGGAAAGATATATGTATAGCAAGAAAAGGAAGGCAATATGGTGGAACAATAAGCTTTAAAGTAGCATTAACATGTTACTTATTTTTTTTTTTTTTTTTTAAAGTAACATGTTACTTATAAAGATGCACAAACTGAAGAAAATATTTTTCACTTGGTTGTGACAGGAAGGTGTCATCACTGAAGCAGAAGTTCAGTGTGTCATCCACTGCAAAAACTCCAAAAACCACCCAAAGAAGTGCTGCCCCACCTGCCCCGGTGAGTATGAATTTTAACACAAGTGTAGCCTGGAAACATTTGGGGGTTCAGTTTTATTTCTACTGTACATGCATAGATTCTGTTTATTCATTTTCTTTATATCCACATTAGTGGAGTTAAGGTTTAATTTAATTCAGTTAAATTCAATTTAATTTATACAGCACCAAATCAAAACAACAGTCACCTCAAAGCACTTTATATTGTAAGGTAGACCCCACAATAATACATACAGAGATAAACCCAACAATCATATGACCCCCTATGAACAAGCACTTTGGTGACAGTGGGAAGGAAAAACTCCTGTTTAACAGGAAGAAACCTCCGGCAGAACCAGGCTCAGGGAGAGGCGGCCGTTTGGCTGAAAGGAAACCCAGAAATGAAATATTTATAGATATTAAACAGGAACTGATAACAAGCTTAATAGTTAAGATAAAGTAAAACAAATTCAGGATGTGCTCAGCAATTTCAGAAGGTCGAAGCCAGGGGCGCTACATTTATGTCATATCTCTTTGTCTCTTTTTCTTTCTCTTTCTGGAAATGTATTAACTAGCATTAAGCCCAAAGCTTCCTGTAGTTGATGAGGAAAATGTAAACAATAGTTATGAATTTCTCTTAGCTCTCTGGTCAAAAAAGAAGAGGAACATCGTGCAGTTTGTTGTGATTTTGAACTACATTTTATTTGACCTGAAGAATGGGAGAGAAAAAGATTAGAGTTGATGAAACAGGATCTTTTATCTTATTTCATAATAGAGTTTTTATTTATTTATGAGATATGACAAATTCCACTTATGTTGAAATTGGGAGTAACATTTTTGGACTTGCCAATGTGCGCAAACAGTCAACATACTTGCACTGCAGTTTTTTGAATTCTGACTTAATGTGTATTTCTTCTGCTGGTAGAAGGATCTGTGTCTGTGGCTGTTGTCTATATTTAAATCACTTTAAAAGTGCAGTAATAAAAGCTTCAGGTGAAGAGGCAAAAGATTTGTGTGAACATGAGTGGATTAAAAAATAATTTGTTTGGTGTAACGTATTTCCCTGCAGGTTGTATCTTTGAGGGTCGTCTGTATAAAGAGAATCAGGAGTTCAGTCCAGAAGGGAAACCTTGCATCAAGTGTACCTGCACTGTGAGTACACATACCCTCTACTTACACCCCCCTCTGAGCAAAGCAGGGGCTCTGTCCCACCAGTTGGTTAGTGTTGGACTCTCCTGGGAGTCACAAATTTTTGGTTGGAACAACATCCCTTTCCTTGGTTTTTCCCCCATAACTTCTTTGCTCTCTCTCACTCTCTCTCTCTCTCTCTCTCT